CTCTGAACCGCTTCATCTGAAAGCGAGAGAGGGAGTCAGCTATATCGTTCCGCTTACCCTCTATATGCTCTGCCCTTATGTAGAAATTATACTTAAGAGTCAAAAGAGTCAGATGGCGGACRAGGTCCATAACCCTTGGAATACGGGACCTTTWCGTGTTTACTATGTTGACAACTGATATATTGTCGCAGAAAAAACGTATTCGCTGGTTAGAAAAAGAATCGGCCCACACATGACAGGCGACAACAAATGCRAATAACTCTTGCCATGCAATGGAAATGCCTGGTTGTCCTAGCTGTTGATGGTGTCCCCATAGGCCCTGGAACCAATGGGTTTTAAAAATGCCCCCGAAGCCTAGAGAACCAGAAGCATCTGTGTAAAGGGAAAGAACATGAGATGTGACCCAATGGGAGGGCAGGAAAAAACCACTCCCATTCCAGTTGCATATGAAATCTTCCCACATCTCCAAATCCTTAAAGAAACCTTGGGTTAGCTTAATCTTATGATGAGGGAGAGAGATGTTTCTAGTAAGATAAATCATACGCTGCAGGAATGGTCGCCCTGGGGGAATAACTTTRCATGCAAAATTAAGTGAGCCAATGAGTGACTGTAACTCTTTAAGGGTGCAAACWGTCCTGTCTTTAAAGTCAGAARAACATGWTGCGAGACGTTGCACCTTGTCAGATGGAAGGCGAGCCTCCATGCGGTCAGAGTCTAAAATAATTCCCATGAATTCCAGAGTTGTCAATGGACCCTGTGTCTTGTGTGGTGCGATGGGAATTCCTAMGTTTTTAAATGTTAATAGCATGYTAGACAAACTCTGTTGACAGGACATGTGTTGGGGTAAAGAAGGGGATGGAGGTTCAATAATGAGAAAATCATCCAGGATATGACAAACAAACGAGATGCCACAATGATTGAGAAGAATCCATTCAACTGCATCCGAAAGCTGGTTGAACAGAAAGGGTGCACTTCTTAAGCCAAAGGGGAGAACTCTATCATAGTAGAAATCCCCCTCCCACTGCATACCAAATAGCTCATAGTCACATGGCCTAAGGGGTAGAAGGCGAAATGCAGAATCAACATCAGTTTTAGCAAGAAAGCAACCACGGCCGTGTGCTATAATTCCCTCTATCGCGGTGTCAATGGTGATATAATTGAGACTGAAATCGTCCTTAGAAATAGAATGATTAATGCTGGTTACACCTGACTTTGGGAAAGAAAGATGGAATATTGTTCGAAACTTATCCGAGTGTTTTTTGGGTACTAAGCCAATAGGGGAGACTTGAAAATTGGGAAAGGGTGGTGATTTGAATGGACCTGCTACCCGCCCTAAGGACACCTCCTTCTCCAAATTGGCTCTCACAATATCTGGCTGAGCTAAGGCTGTTGGCAAATTCTTTGTAAAACGGGGGGAACGTTGCCCAGAGAAACCTATATCTGCCCCAGTTCTGAACGTCTGCAATAACTTTGAAACAAAAACACGATCTGGATGATCAGCTAAAGCCTCCTCGAGCCTATCTACATCAACAGGGGTGGGGAGTGAACAAATGGCTTCCTTACTTATGGCGGCTGGAGGAGCCACTTGATTTAGAGTAGCTAGATCCCCCATCTGCCTTATCCCTGGTATATCCTCCCTTGTCTGGACTCCTGTTATAGCTAATGGAGCTGCAATCCCGCCCTGGGTGTTTTCCCTTACATCGGTTACAAATGTGTTGGTATTCGCAGTTATCTCTAGTGCACTGTCCAATTCTGTTGAATTGGTGGCAAATGCCTCTAACGCCCCCCTTTGAGACATTGCTTTGGGGTCCATGTTTGAAAAGCGGAAACTCTTCGTTGAGTGCCGCAGGTGATACAGTAAAAATAGTCAGCCATAAGTGCTGATCAATCTTAGACCATACAAGTGATTTATCTAAGCCTGCCTTCTGGCGGAATTTATGATCATAGATCGCCCAACCCAACCCTGTGTGTACTCGAGCGGCATATCTAATAAGACTTAGATATTGANTGCTAGTGAGTGTACATGTAGGTGTGCTGTTGTCATGGTTGGGAGGAGTAAATGCCGTGTTTTCAGTGTGTTGCATGGCGTTTATAGCKGCTTGGGCTRCTTCGGTGGCGATGTCGCGACATGACTCGGCGACTGTGTTTTTGATCATGTCCCTGATCGTCACGAGTTGTTCTTCTGAGAAATTATTTCCCGTCCCCTCTTCGCGGTTAATTGTCTCGAGTTGCTGGTCTTGTTGTTGGTGATCGTTCTGGTTCGTTTGMGTCTGAATATCTCCCGCATTGGGAGCTGTGTTTCGATTGTTTCTTCGCTTTGGTGGCCGTCCACGTGTAGCCGAATGACCGCCACTTCGTTTCGCTCTAGTCGATGGCATGGTTTGAATTTTAGACACCAAAACAGTTGAGACAGTCGATGACTTCGAGACAAAGTGATCTGAACAAGCGTGTAGAAAAACAGCAAAGAAATGTAACTTTTTGTCCTAGAATCAATTGTTCCGCAAGCTTCATGCAGAAGGAGAGTTTAACAGTGAATCACTGAACCGAAGCATCCTGCTTAACACAGTTTGATTGACAGGAGGAAATAACAAGCTGTGATTGGACAATATATAGCTGTGCATGACCTTTGTACCCCTTGTATTGTTAGCATTTGTCAAACGTTTGTTGAATGCTCTTAAGAGCTAATGGTTTTATCATTAACTGTAATTTATATCCTATAAATTTGCTCAAAAGTTGCATTTCATTCATAA